TATCCCCTCCTCCAGACGCCCTCCTGCAGAAACCCGAGGTTCACGGCATCAAGTTCCTGTTCCTGGTGGGCGGTTTCGCCGAGTCGGCCATGCTGCAGCGGGCGGTGCAAGCCGCCTTCGGCCACCGCTGCCGGGTCATCGTCCCGCAGGACGTGGGGCTGACCATCCTCAAAGGGGCCGTGCTCTTCGGCCTGGACCCCGGCGTGGTGCGGGTGCGCCGCTCGCCGCTCACCTACGGCGTGGGCGTCCTCAACAAGTTCGTGGAGGGCAAACACCCGCGGGAGAAGCTGCTGGTCAAGGARGGCAAGAACTGGTGCACCGATATTTTTGAGAAGTTCGTGGCCGTGGACCAGTCGGTGGCTTTGGGAGAGGTGGTCCAGCGGAGTTACTGCCCGGCCCGGCCCGGCCAGCGCCGGACCATCATCAACATCTACTGCAGCGACACGGATGACGTGGTGTACATCACCGATCCCGGCGTCAGGAAGTGTGGCACCATCAGCCTGGAGCTGGGGGATGGCGGTGACGCCGGGGACATGGGGACAACGCGGGGACGGCGTGAGATCCGCGCCAGCATGCAGTTCGGGGACACCGAGATCAAGGTGACAGCGCTGGACATGCGCACCATGCGCAGCGTCAGGGCCACCATCGACTTCCTGTCCAACTGAGGGTTCTGGAGTTGTGGGGACAACCCTGGGAGATGCCACCATGGACTTCCTGTCAAACTGAGACCCAATTGGAGATGGCACCATTGACTTCCTGTCAAACTGAGGAGGGTCCTTGTCATTTTGGGGACACCCCCAGGATCTGCCATCATTGACTTCCTGTCACACTGAGGGTTTTGTCATTGTGGGGACAACCCCAGGAGATACCACCATGGACTTCCTGTCACACTGACACCTTCCTGGAGGTGCCACCATCAACCTCCTGTGCAAACAAAGGGCCCTGGCATTGTGGGGACAAGCCTGGGAGATGCCACCACTGAATTCCCGTCCAACCAAGACCCTCCCTCATCATGGGGACCTTTGGGACCTGTCACCATGGCCTTCCTGTCACACTGAGAGAGCCTGGCATTGTGGGGACACCCCCGGGACCTGTCACCATGGCCTTCCTGTCACACTGAGAGACCCTGGCATTGTGGGGACACCCCCGGGACCTGCCACCATCAACTTTCTGTCAAACTGAGACCTTCCTGGAGGTGCCACCATTAGCTTCTTGTCCAAATGAAGGACCATGTCATTGTGGGGACATCCACAGGAAATGCCACCATTTGCTTCCTGTCCAACTGACATTGGGACCACCATTGTGGGGACCACCAGGAGATGACACCACTGACTTCTGGTCACACTGAGACCATCCAGGAAGTGCCACCATCGACTTCCTGTCCAACCAAGAGACCCTGGGAGATGCCACCACCCAACTGAGCCCCCCTTCACCATGGGGACCCCAGACCCTGCCCCCCATCCAGCCCCCCTTTAACTGGAATTTACCCCATAAACCCCTCCCCCCAGCCCATCCGGGACTTTTTGGGATCATCCACAGAACCCTGGGTGGGTTCATGGAGGGGACATGGGCTCCACCTCTTTCCTGGTTGGGATTTCCGTCCTCCCCATTGGGATTTCCTTCTTTCCCAGTGGGATTTCCTTCCTCATAAATGGGATTTGCTTCCTTCCCAGTGGGATTTCCTTCCTCCCCAATGGGATTTCCTCCTTCTCAATGGGATTTCCATCCTCCCCAGTGGGCTTTTCTCCTCCCCAGTGGGATTTCCTCATCCCCAATGGGATTTCCTTCTTTTCCAGTGGGATTTCCTTCCTTCCCAATGGGATTTCTTTCCTCCCCAATGGGATTTCCTTCCTTCTTCACCACTGGGATTTCCTTACTCCCCAATGGGATTTTATTCCTCCCCACTGGGATTTCCTTCCTCCCCATTGAGATTTTATTCCTCCCCAGTGGGATTTCCTGCTTCCCAGTGTGATTTCCTTCCTTCTTCCCCATTGGGATTTCCTTCCTCTCCAGTGAAATTTCCTTTCTCCCCTGTGGGATTTCATCCTCCACAGTGGGATTTTGTACTTTAAGCCCCCCTCAGGCATGTAAGATATCTTTATATTTATACATATATATATATAGGCACATAAAACTTCCTGAAACTGCTCCTGGTCCTGGTACCAYGAGGAGAAAAAAAYRTAAAAAGGGGGAAAAARGGGGGGAAAATGAGAAAAACRRGGAAAAACAAACWGAGAAAARYRGGGAAAAACAAACAGAGAAAWACRGGGAAAAACAAACCAAGGAAAACAGGGAAAACCCGAGAAAAATGGGAAAAAAACCCCGAAAAAGAGGCGCTGGCAGCAACACGAGGACACGGCCGGGGACACGGCCCCAAACCCAGAGCCACGGGGGACTCCCCGCTCCCGTCCCACATTCCACAGGCAAAACTCCCTCCCCAGCGAGGGAAAAATCCCACCCCAAGAGGCACAATTCCCCCAAAAACCCCCCCGGGGCTGCGGGGTGAGGGCGAAGCAGCGGCAGCAGCAGCAAGCAGGGTCCCCCCGCCCCACTTTGGGGACCGTCCCGTGCTTTGGGGACCCCGGTGGGGACCTTGGGGACCCCCGGGGCGGGGTTTGGGGTCAGTCGAAGCCGTGCCAGTCGCTCTGCTCCGAGTCGTATTCCAGCTCGGCTCCCACGCAGCGCACCCCGTCCAGGAGCATCGGCGTGCCGTGGTGGCGGTCTGGGGACAGCGGGGGACAC